GCCATTGAACTGAATCAAATAGGAGTTAGGAGATTCTCAGAAACCATGAGGTAGGAAAGTCAACATGACCTCGTTAGGTGTGAGGAACGCATTGAATTGAGCGAGCTAGCCAGATATGAAGACTTTGTTGGAACGAGTACTTGAGATCAAAGCCAACCATCGATTGGAAACATATTTGCACTGAGCAGCAGATCTAAATGGCAATCTGCTAAAGATTTCGTCTAACAACAAATCATTTGTTAAACATTTGATATCACTGGGCAAAGACGGCTTGTGAATCTTGAGGTGTGTGCTCCAAATTCCAATCATTAATCCCGAGGCCTTCTTCCCATACTCTAACATCATCAGGGCCAATATCAGCCATCACCAATCTCCAGCCAGAGTAATCAAGGAATCCAAATCTCATTATTCTCATACGGTCAGTGTCAGGATAATCAATTGTACGACGACGGTGAGTATAGGGATCATACACCAAAATACGACAACTACCCATTAAGAACTAATTTAGTATTTCTTGACAAAGTGATTTTCATCGTTCTTATGCAAACATCATTGTAGGCAGCGTTGTCCACAGACACATAAAATACCTTATTTTCGAATTCCCATAATTGTAGCCATTTAAGAATTGCATCTGCAACATCGACTTCACGCCTTGGTGGCACTTTCACAAAACTCAAAACTCTTTTCTGTAATTTCTATTCTGAATCAATGAAGTGGCCAGTGATCACCATGTATTCAACTATTTTGTGGTTAGACTTCCACATATCAGTGGTGATGCTAATCTTGTCCACTCTCATCAATTGAACTTTTAGCAAAAAAAAATTCAGCCTCATATAATCCAATGCAATCATTTTTTGTTGTATGACGTGACACTTTCTCAAAATCATGATTTGCACATTGAAACATCCACTTCCAGGCAATATCCTCGACAAAGCTAAAAGGATTCTCATGAACCATAATAGCAATAGCAATAGCTTCTCTCATTTTTTTTCATTGGAACACTTTCCTGTAGGTGAAAGGAAAGGGTTCACTATAGAACCTGAAGGCTGAAACGTAAGAGTGGTTTGAGTGGTTTCCTTCTTTCTGAATTGGGCCAATTTTTTTCAAGCAACTTGTTAGATGCCTCTTTTGATGGGTTGTGCTTGCTCCCGGTCCACTTCGTGCAAATTTTGATTTACAATGGTTGCATATTGCCTTAGGCCCAACATTGGGGATATCCACTTCATGGAAGTCATCCCGCACCTTTGATGTTTTTCGCCTCTTATTTGTGGTGCTTGCATCTGCATCTTGTGTTAGTGGTTCTTGTCCTTAAACATCAACATCATTCCCTTCATGTGAATTAGAGGCCACTTACCTAGTTTGATAAAGAAACAACACAAATAAATCAAAATCAATGAGTGAAAAAGCCAACAAAGATTAAGACTGTGGACTTGAATGCTCGCTTTAGCATAACAAGACGCTGCAATTAAAATTTATATGTAAAATAGTGACAAGAGAATGAGCCAAAAAAAGAATAACAAATTACGATACATCCCAAATTTATAAAATCCAAAATTCTTTCTATAGCAATAATCCAAAATTCTTTCTATAAAATCCAAACAATGACAAGACGCTAATATGTTTATTGGTTACATGCTTTGGACTTGTCCCTCTATGGCAATAATGTTTAAATTACAAGCTTTTGTAGACTTCAGTGCCATAACTTCTAACCAAACAAAGCCTATCAGAAAAAATTTCCTTTTAACTATATTGAGATTAAACCTTTATATATATATATATATATATATATATATATATATATATATATATATATATATATATATATATATATATATATATATGCCAAGTTTCCAACAAGCCATCTCCACACGACTTCAGAGTAATTGAGAGACATGCCAATTTGTTTTCCATCATTAGGTAGAAATCGAAAGACATCGAGATCTTTCATAGCAGAAATCAGTGGGGTAGGATGGCAGCAAGAGCAATGATTGATAAGATTGAACAAATAGGTTTGGTAAAAGAAAAAAAACTCAAAACAAATATGGTTAGGGTTTCAAAAAATTCAAACCTGAAATGAGATTGAACCAACTCCACAGCTACAATGATGTCAAACTAGGTGGTGGGTTGTGACTTGTGAGTCTTGTGACTATACCAGCCCTCATGGACAACTCGAAGTGCCTCCAACAAAGAAGGGTCGAACTGGAGAGAAATATTTGGGTCTGCATTTTCGATCAGCGACGGTGGGAAATGTTGAGGAGAGAGAGAACATAGAGTCACTTTTGAACAATTAGTAAAAAAAAAGTTAATACTAACAGGCCTGCCTTGACGGCTTTAAGGCCAGACATTTCATATAGAGTCTGAAGCTTTTTAACTAAATGGGCTTTTGTATGAGTACAGGTTTGAGCCCAATAACTGAAAAAGACAGGCCAGATCAGGCCAATGAAGGCCAAGCCCAAGGCCTCTGGCCTTATTATCACCCCTAGATACATTCTCAATAAACTAAGGGTCCTTGGAAGGTCAATTCACCCTTAAGTTTATTTGTGTTGCGACTTCGACAAGTGCACAGGTCGTATAAATAATAAAGTATACAAGAGTACAAGATCGTTCCCACGAGGACTAGAGTTTCAATCACTAATTCACTATTTTATGCTTTAATTGGACAATCAATACAAAATTGGTAGAACAAAGATTTAAAACAATCAATGATTAAAATCACAGAATTCTAAAAATTAAAACTTCAATAACAAAGCAAGAAAATAAAAGATGAGCTTTTCAACAATCAAGAAAAGCACAGTTAGGGATTTGACTTCCCTCAATTTTCCTCTTTATTCTATGAATTAAAATCCTTATGTAACTTCCCTTTAATATATTGCCAATCGATTCCACTAAATTAATTAAAATTCAATCCCTTGATATCCTAATTCTTTATAATCTTGAAAAACCCCTAGTTTCCCGATTATTCCTCAAGAAAATAAGCATTAAACACAAGAATCAAAAGATTGCATAATTTCCTTATGTCTATTCCTAGAATCACAAGGATTATGATGAATTTATTAAAAAAGTTCATGCACCAACATTCTTATTGTCATACAATTACCATAAATCATTCTACAAGAAATAACTCATAAAAAGCATTAAGAGTAGATAAATTCATGCAATACAAAAAGGAAAATTATAGTAAACATTCAACTCATAGACATAAAGATTCAATTGGGTTCCATCTAACCTTAATTACAAAAAAATCTAGCCTGGCATAGTTAATTCAAAAACAATAGAAAGCAATAAAGGTTCCCCAAACTACATTGGAGTGATGACGTTGTGAATCCTTAAAGTTCCCAACATGTTCTTGAAATCAACATGCTCCAGAGTATGAAAGACGCGCTTCTATGACTCCAACTAGGATTCAACTCTTCCAAATTGTCCAAAAGTTCGAAGATCCCTTAATTGGTGCTGAAACTCCCCTTAAATATAGTAGGAAACCTTTTCTTCGAGCTTAAGCAAGGTATTGGGCTTTATTTGGATCGTGTTAGCGTGTTAAAGCATGTAGGAGAGCGCTCCTCGATAAGGAATTTCTTCATGATAGCACGTATTAGCGCGCTCTTCTAGAAGCTTTTATGTATTTCTCTCATTTAGTTCATTGTAGGGTGCTTAAGCGCGCTATTCCAGGGGCGTTTGATTGTTTTGCTCAATCCCTAAAGTGCACTCTTCCAGTCTTTAAACTTTCTTCTAGAACGCACTTAATGGACTTCCTTGAGCTTCAAGCTTATACTCAAGTTCTTTAACTTCGTTCTTGCCTTAATTTGTATCAATTTACCTTCAAAACAAGTAAGAATCAGTTGTGTTAGTTTATAATTCAATTCTTCATTTTTTTTTCACCAATTAACCTTGATTTTTATGCTTTTGACTATATAATTCATGTAAATTTAGCCTTTAACACATGATAAAGTAAAGGTTTATCAATTTTCCTGTATTAAAAGTTAGAACATAGCATAATATAGCATCATATATATCAAAGAGCCAACCTAGAGTTTATCATATTATACTCCAAGTGTACTAGGACCGCTTAATGAGTTTTTGCTTAACAAGTGTCCACATGAAACTTTCAAGTGTTTAACCTCCAAAGATAATATCCCAAAAGAAAGCTCATGCTACTTTCTCTAAACCAAAGAACCTACTCAAGCATGAAAGCCCTTCGTGTACCTAGTACACAAAGAACATTCAAATGAATCACACATCAAATAAGTATATCTGTATGAAACTGCTAAGAGTGAAACCTCCTCAGATACGTCCCTCCAAGGGATAGTCCATACCATATAATTTTAGCCGATGAACCTCGATCAATCAACTCATGATTCCATGGCTATACACGCAAGCGCATCATGTCACATATCGCAACTTGGCATATATATATACTTTAAAACCCAAATTTCATGATAATATATCAATTAGTAATATTAAATCCGACTCAATCAAAGTATTGAATTAATGGGTTACTAGATTAACCAATTGATCACTTATTGAACCAATTAAATTGAATTTATGTAAAAATATATAATAAATATAAAAATAAAAGTAATACGAAAAATAAGATTAAACTTAAAAAAATAGAAGTAATATAACAAATGAAATATTACGATTTCGTGTTTAAGTTTGAATAACTTGTGAAAATAACTATATATATCATTTTTCATTGATATCTTGTTTCTTTTGCCCTCTTCATCCTTAATGCATTTCACTTAATATGTATCTATTTTTTCCATTTTTCTATTATAAATATATCTTCCCTCCTCTTCGGTGCCTAAAATTATTGGTACAACACCTTGAATGCTTTTGACCTTGGTCTAGCCAACCATCTTCTTAGCATCCTATTTAGTTAGCTTTTTTTTTTTTTTTTTTTCCAGTCCTTATCACTTTTACACTAAGTTCTGACCTTTATAAAACACTTTTTTTTTTCGGTAATCATTATATCACTCTTTTAACTCTAAGGTTCTCTTCTACAAAACGAGGGGGGGAAGAGAAAATTAATTAACTAATTAACAACTGAGCGACTGATGCATATTACAGTGATCCTACTTTCTAATTATACACAAAATATACACCCCTCTAGCAAATTATGCACTATTTAGATTGGTTTTCGATCTATGCCTTCAATATTTTCATTGAAGAAGCAATTGCTTGCGAGATGCACTGCACCAGCGAGCATAGCATGCATGGAGATTTGGCCAGTCAGAGGAGGGGCAATGTGTAAAATGGTGGAGCCACATGGACAGAACTCGCTCCTGCTCTTCCTCTTGTTCTATTCCTTCTATTGTTTCCTCTAACACCCTCTCTAACTCGCTCCTTTCACTGATGCTTAAAATTGGTGCATCAGTACCATTGCTCGCTCTGCACAATAATGGCAGCCATGAAAGTAGCATCTTTAACTTGACCTGCATGTGTGGCACCATTTTGCTTTCCTCTGTTTCATTTAGGTCCATGTCTTTGGCTTCCCGGAACAAGAATGCTGCAAAGAAATTAAAGTCGAATTCAACTGAGTTCACAACGAGACTCACATTATGGAAGTGTGTGGAACTTATTATAAAGTTGCAATAGCAACGACAAACATGCCAAGACAAAGAGTGACTCAAAAAAGTCGCTAATAATCTAGGGAAAACATTTTCACACGAAATTTTTCTCCTAAAGACATAGTATAAGTATAACTGGAACCTACAAAATACTGAAGAGTAAAACCCACTTATACTAGTAGAGAAAAAATTTCTTCTTCAAAAGAAAAAAAATGTTTTCCCAATAATCTAAGGGAAAGGATATTGTGAAAACCAAGTTGTGTTACTACCAAGTGACTACCAATCAATCTTACCGTTAGATAAATTATATTGATCAAACGGTTATATTTATTTCCATCTTTGTATGGTCATGATTTCTCAAATTTAATACTTTATATTTATTTTCATCTTTGTATGGTTATGATTTCTCATATTTAATGCTTTCACTTTAAATATGGGGAATCATAACCATACAAAGATGGAAATAAATATAACTGTTGGATCAAGATAATCGATCTAACGGTGAAATTGATTGGTAATCACTTGGTAGTAACACAACTTGGTTGTCACAATATACTTCCCCATAATCTAAATAGAAATGTCAGCATCTCTGCTTAAAAATTAAATTAAACAATGCTGTGTTATCAAAAAAAAAAAAAAAAAAAATTTAACAATGCTGTAAACAGCTGGCATCACTAACGTCGCAAATTTGCAATTACAATGCTGGAGAAGAAATTAACGGCTAGCATTTACTAAATTATTATATATTTTTTTAATATTTGATTATTAAAAAAATAAGTTATATCTATAAATCTTTTATTTACAAACAATATTATATGATATGGGTAATACATACTCAACTTTATACTTAAATAATATATATTACTTGTAAGACATATTATAATTCGTAACAATTTATAAATAAAAAATTTATAAATATAATATACATGCTCGTTAAAAATAATTAAAATTGTAGAAGAAACAAGAATACCTCGTACCTGCAAGTTTGACAAGCGAAGCTTGCAAGCGTGGCTCAGCCGATAAAGCGAGCCGGCCCAAATTCGAAGCCGTGGCCCACCTCAAAACAGCTTCCTGTCCGCAACCACAAGCCGCCAGCTTCTGAGCCAGCCACAGCAACTCAGCCGCCAGCTTCACAGCTGATATTCCATTCCGGCTCGCCTCTCCTCTTCCTCTCATCACGCTGGGCCCAACAATATCCCGAACCATCTGCAAAACCCGACCCAGCGGATGCTCAACTGGCCCACCACTCTCCCCGTCACGCCCTCCCGCGGCGGCTGCTGCTTCGAGTCGGCTCAGCGTCGTGGAAAACGCCGCCGACAAAACCTCGCAGTTGACCCTACGCAGCGCGTGGGTTCCATCCCTGTGGTTCTCGTCGATGACCCTCTCCGCCAAAGACCGAACCACCTCGTACTTCCTCGAACAAACGGGGATGTCGTTCATGATGGACAAGAGCTGCGAGAGTGCTCGACCGATGCCCGAGTCGTTTCGCTGGGCGGTGGTGTCGTATTTGTCGGGCGTGAGGGGAGGCACCAAAACGCAGTCGAGGATTGGGGAAGGCACGAAACGCAGGAAGAAGAGGAAGGCGCCACGAAACGTTTCGAGGAGTTTGTATTTTTGGGCGAAGAAGAGGAAGGATCTGACGGCGTGGAGGAGAAGGGAAGCCATGATGTTTCGGAGGAACACCAGTGGCACGGTTGTCGGAGGAGTCTCCCACTCCGCCATGCCCATTTGATGTTGGAATTGGAGTTGTATTGTATGTCAAATTAAATGGAGAGAAAAGTTGAAAAGGTTGATTGATAATTTGATATTGACGAGGAGTGTCGTGAATCGTGATGGTAGTTCGGTGATTGGCACGATAATTCAATTGATTTGCACCGTTGAATGAATGGCTTGGATTTTATAGTAGAAAGTACGGATGTATTTACAGATATTTGATAAACTCAACTTAGGGCATAAAATTAGTAAATTAATAACTTATTGTTAATTAATATTTTATTGTCAAATAATAATATGTTTACCCACTTCTGTCTAATATAATTGGGTTTTGATATTTTATAGTTAAAAATATTATTGTCTTTTAATTCTTTTAAAAATACGCGACTTTACGTTATTTGATATTTTTTTCATTTTTTTTTAATTTCTTATCTTATAATTATTTATAAAATTTTAATTCTCAAATTTTAAGGGGGAGTATTGGATTAGGATTTTAAAAAAAAAATTGAGATAAAAAATCTTATAGATTTTAAAAAACTATTTAGAATTGGAAGGACTTTAAAGATTTTTTTAAAAGACTTTTTTTACAATCAAGATTTCATAAGATTAGATTTTAAAGGATTTTAATAAAATTTAAAAGATTTGAAAGAATAATATAAATTTATAAGATTTTAAAAAATCATATAAATTTTTAACAAACATTTAAAATTACAATAGCCATAAAAAAAATAACAAAGAAATGCAATGATATTAATAAAAAAAATGTAAAATCTAATATAATTTTCTCAATCAGTAAAATATAATATCATTTTTAACAAACATTCAAAATTATTTAGCAACAGATCTCCACATATCTAAACTTATCCTCCATGTCAATGTTGTCAAAATCGAGTTTTTACGTAGAGAACGGAAAGGGGTGGTAGAAATGTAAATCATAGAAACGACACGAAACGTAAAGTTTTTACTACTTAAAGTCAAGATACAAAGTTATATATATGGAAAAATATTTTCTCATGTTGCATGAGAATTCAATTCTCATGTTGTGACCCTTCGATTTGCGTGCAAAGCTTTTCTTTTCTTTTTCTCTTTTTAATAAATGTGGGGCTCACCATTAGTTGAGTCATGACATGAGAATTGAATTCTCATGCAACATGAGAAAATCAAATCTCTATATATATATATATATATATATAATTAAATCACATAAGTCACTACTTAAAATTTAATGAACAACTTCATATTTAAAGGATATAAATTACATAACTATATAAGACATAAGTTCAAAAACATAAAAAAGAGTTTAACAACTCCTACAACCAAGTTTCAAAACATTAAAAGAATAAAGTTAATAACTTCTAAATTATATCAATTAATTCAAACCAAACACATCATTTTGCATCAGTTATATGTCCTCAATGTCCTTTTCTCTTGCTCCTATAACAACATAATAGATTGATTCAATACCCACGTCGACTTGGTACTCAAACTTTTCACCAATAGCTTCACCCTCTTCTTTATCTGCAATAGCGACCTCACGCGAGGGGTTTTTTTTAAAAAAAAAAATAGTTAGAAGAAGATACTATGCATTTTGATTTAGGGGAATGGAAATAGGTTTTTTTTTTTTTAAGGGTCATGGGTTAACAGTTGACCCGATTCAATTTTTCCTTTTTTTGTATAAGACCTGATTCAGATTTTTGGTTTAGGTAAAAACGTAGAAACTTGCATTTTTACGCTTTTGCACGTAGTTTTTACCAATTTTTACTGAGGAGAGTTTTTACTTGCGTTTTAACACGTATCACTTCAGTAAAAACATAAGTTTCTACGTTTTTAGACTAGTTTTTGACAATAATGCTCCACAAGGAAGCATGGACACTTGTAAAAACAGGAAGAGTCGGGTCCGACACGCTCCGACACGGCGACACGCTCCGACACGGTGTCGGACACGCGGTTGACTTTTTCCGACACGTTGACCATTCCGACATGCGAATTTGACTGTGTCCGACACGGTCAAATGGCATTTTTGTAATTTTTTTTAATTTTTTTTTTAATTTTTAAATTTTTTTTTTAAAGTTAAAATATATTAATAAAGCTTCCACCTGATCATATCAATTTTGTCTTTTGTCTTCTTTCCCCTTAAGTAGATAAGAAATCATCTCAGCATCATTGTTGTCAATTCCTATCACGCTCTTGTTGTATCTTCTTCTCTCTGATCTCTCTCTAATATGATTTGATCTCTCTATCTGATATTGTATCTCTCTCATCCCAGTTCTTATTTTTTTTATTAAAGCTTCCATCTTTATAACGTGTTGATGGGTATTATTAATTTAGTTTTATTTTTTTGTTAAATTATTAAATATTAAATGAAATATACACTATATAAATTAAAAATATTATTTAATATTAAAACGTGTCCCAACGTGTCGAAATCCATAATTTTTTAGGATTGACGTGTCGGAGTGTCGTGTCGTGTCACGTGACGCGTGTCGTATCGGTGCTACATAGATGCTCCATGTATTAGCATTTTATCGTTCATGCTCTTGGGTTTGATCAATAGTTTGAAAATTATCTTATTCATTTGGCATCAGAGCTATATATATATGATTATAAGACCCCAAAAAAATTATTTATTAAAATAATTCTAAATTTTCATATAGAATATTAAAATAATTCTAAATTTGCATATAGAACCTAAAGTTCATAATAAAATTTTATTTGGAATTTTTTGCAATTGATCTTGAAAACCTTGGGGTTTTGGTTCTACGTGATGAGAGTTTTTTAACTATATACCATATGCATATTTTCATTGAGTATTCTAAGAAAATTTTAAATCTGAATTTCTAGGTTTTATTACATGAAAGTTTAGATAATTTATCAAATTATTTTCAATCAATACATTGAAATCTTGGGGCTTTTGAAAAACAAGTTTTTAATTATCTATTGACACAAAATTTGTTTGAAATAGTTTCATATAGCGAAGGAATTTCGTTCTTGAATGTACTGTTACAAAATATAGGGTTTATATTATGAAGGTTTCAATCTTTCTTTAAATTGATCTTGTTTTACTGATGTAAAACGAAAATTAGTTTGAGGATTTTAGTTCCTCTATTGTTTATCCACTGTTTTATGTTGTCTTTAATACAAAAATCATATTTTTATGCCAAGAAAAATCGTGACTCATAGCTTGAAAAATTATTTTTAAAATTTTCCAAAAGCTCTGAAAAATTTGTTGTTTTTGAGATTGATTATATTATAATCTTGTTGGTTTGTTGTTTTTGGGTTATTTTGTGATGAAAACCGCTCAAGAATATGCTATTTTTGAGCTTTGATGAAGCTCCCATGGCAGAACTAGATTTCGAGCGGGTCAACCCCCGCCAAAGGAAGGAGAAAACCTTGCAATAGAGAAATTTCAAGAAATTTTAGGAGTTATGGTGAGATTGTGAGAGAGACGTCCTATTTATATTTCTCACTAAAAGTCTCACGAAACACATACAATAGAAAATTCATTAAAATCATTAGAGTTTAAAATACTACAAGATTGTTTTTCCTTTGTTTAAAATTCTGATTGAATACCAACGGATTTAGACGAACTATAAAAAAATCTTTTAAAATCCGAATCGAATATCACCTGACTTTTTTTCAATCTTTTAAAATCCTAATTGAATACCAATGAATTTTTTTGTCCAAAAGTAATCAATTAAAACCCTTTGAAATCACAGTGCAATACACTCCCCTAAGTTCTTTTTTAATAAAAAACATGTGACTTCACTGTTAAAAAAAACTTTTTCTTTCAGTTACCAAAATAAATTGTTCTTTCTTTAGTTTTAAATTATTTATATTATCAATGTAATAAAAATTTTAAGTTAAAATTTTATTATTTTCCAATATTAATTGTCTAATACTTTTAAATTAAATTTTTAAATTTTGTTTTACAACAATTTTTTTATAATATCCCAACTGCTCTTCTCATATATATTAAATTAGAGAATGTCATATTAAAATTAATTTAATCTTTATTTTGCTCTCCATTAAAATTAAAATTAAAATTTTTGTAATTAAGAATACATTTTTATTATTTTCATCTATTTTTAAATTATAATTGAATTTATTATTCATACTTTTCATATTTTAAGATTTTTTATTTTATGTAATTTTCTTCTAATTTATTTTTTAAGTTTTACTTAAATTTAAAATATACACATATTATGAGATTTAACTATGAGTTAGGATAAAACTGTTGAACTTAGTTAGATTAAAAATAAAAAATATTAAAATATCTAAAAAATATCATATTATATGAACATTAGGTGTGTAAAAGACTTTGTTGGTTGAGGCTATATCCACTTTGATGATCTCAACTTTGGGGGGAATTAGTTTTCGGTGTTCGGCTGAGGGATATTATTTGAGCCATCCAAAAACCAATTATTAGGTGTATAAATAAGTTAATGTTTTATAAACTCAGGCGGTGATCAACTCAGTCAAATTATTGAGTTAATGGGCTATTGGTTTAAGGGAGTAATCTTATGTCATATAAGATAGGTATCTTATATAGGTGAAACAAAGTTGTAGAGTTTATAATTTTTAAAAAAATAAAAAAGAAAAGAAAAAATAGACACAAGATTTCATGAATGTCCAACATAAGATAGTTATCTTATGTAATATAAATAATTATTTCTCTTGGTTTAATTAGTGGATCACTACACTTGTACATATATAAAAGTTTATAATAAATATAAAAAGTCATATTCTAAAAAATAACATACTGTGGCTTAGTAGTTGGACATTGAACCATGCAAGTAACGGTTGATGATGGAACTATGCAGGTGAAGGGACTAGGTTTGATACCCTGCAAATTGTAATCCATCATATTTTGTACCATATATTCAGAATACGATTTAATTTCGAATTGACAGCGGTTTATAATCGGTTCACCAACTTGACTCCGGTTCACAAGCAGATCTTATCCATTAGTGGGATTGAACTGACTGGTGGTGCACCAGTCTAAACCAATTTTAACAATGTGTGGGGTGTTTGGTAGAGAAAAACAATTTTTTTTATCCGGGAATCTCAATTTTTAAAAATATGATACAAACATTCAGTTTACGATAATATTTAAAAATTAAAAATTTAGAAAAATTCAATTT